CAGTTTGGCAAACAGTCAGCTTAGCATTTTTTAAAAGAATGGTATCTAATACCTTTTCGCCAACAACTGTTGATAGATGCATGCTAGAGGCGATGACAACGCCTTAGATGTGTTCGGGTCGAAGATACGGATCGACTGATATAAAACATGACTTTTCCCGATCAGGCCATGACCTTAACCTGAGGTCAAACTTTCAAGTTGAATTTTCAAAGTCAAATTATAGTTCATTCGATGCTTCTTGACGAGAGGAACATTATATTGGCAAAATAAGTATGGTGCCTTTCTGGAGTCAAAAGTTATTACATTAAGAACATTTTCCGTAAAAACTGCTGTTTTTAGTTTTTGCCCTCTAGAGGCTAAATCGTTGGTCATATGTCAAATATTGATCCTGGTTCAGAAAGAGCATTAAAAGACCTATCGAATGCGCTTTTCCGCGGCTCTGTAGCTCCATTGGTTCCCGAGTTATGTGGCGGTGTTTTGAAAAATGTTGAAATATGTAACACTTAACCTTCGATTACCGCCGGTGACGTGACCTGACCTTTCACCTTAGCTTAAAAAAAAATGGCCAAAGTGTTTTTGTCTTCATTTCGGACGTTCTTTCGCATGCCGCTTACCGTGTGTCGCTTCGTGGCCCAGTAGTCGAGTTAGAAGGGGGTGTTCAAACATCCCCCCTCCTCAGCAGGGCGTGGTAATCCAGGATTCCCAGCGGGGTGCGAGTTATTCGATACATGTTAGGGAGGAGACACCGAAATTAACTTTGTACGAACATTTTGCAATATCGAATGCGTTAATACTTAATCGTGACGAGCAGTGGATTTTTACTTTTTTCCAGAAATGCTTGCCTTATAAAGGGCGAAATAGCGGGTTGCGTATTTACCTACACTCCCGGCACCAGGAGTATAATCCCGGCACAACGTTACCTCTGCGGTGGGAAAAGCTGGCATGACATTACGGTGGATTCTGCCAATGTCATCACGTCCCTTTTCTAAGGATATTGCTGTTTTTTTTTTTTGTTGGGTTAGGCCCTTTCGGTCGACAAGACCATTGCAGAGCCGGAAGGATGATAGGAATTAGGGGGAGACATTGGTCTGGGCAGGCACCCTAGAGAGTCGCCGGGGCTGAGCCCGTCCATAGGACAGGCCGACCAGCCCCCCAAGCACTCTCTGCACCCGGCTACGGGGTACAGCCCCCTCGGGAGCAGCGGTGCCGCTCCAAGGGAGCAGCCCGCATGAGATTAAGTTGCCTGTCCAGCCCGGAAGGGGGTTGCGGCGTGGAGGAGAAGGATTTCTGTTTCCTGAGGATAGAAGCACGGATAGGTGGATATTGCTGTTGGAACACCTAGCAGTAGCTACGTGGGCTGTCTGAGTCACTAGTGTGTTACGCCCGACGCCGTCCCGTCCTCCGCGGGTTTATCGAGCGAAAGTCGTGAGTTCTGAGTATCCAGTGCGCCGGGGAGGGAGCGGGCGGGGGGCGGTCGATTTGACGGCTGCGACGCGGCCCGACGGCCGACTGCGGGCGTCAGTGGCGGCGCCGATCGTTAGCGGGAGGTGCCGAGGCCTGGCGGGCTGCCCGCCAGTCACCCGTGGCCGGCCGGCCCGGCCCGTCGGTGGACCAGTATGGTACTGTTCCCGGGAGGACAGTACCGGCCCGGCGCTCCTGTCATCGTGTCGATCCCGGCAAGACTCCGCCTTCTCCACTCGGAACGAGCTCTAACAGTTCAGCATATTTATTTTCGGCTGAAGGACTTAACGGCCTTATTTGATAATGACTGATTTCAGCATTTAAATGGCAAATGATTTAAAAAAGTGACATCATTTTCAGGCATCATATGACCCAAGTTGAAATATATTACCGAACAAAAATAATGAAAAATAATGGACAGTTTTAAAACGAGACGGAAAAAACGTTTCCAAAAACTATTTAACAATATTGCCCTTTTGCAAAATGGAAAACATTAAGTTATTCTGTGGAAGAAAGACACGCCAGGGCACGCGGGCCATTGGTGCAGGAAGTACCTGACGTTCACATATGGGACGCGTCCACTTGGGTGCTGGGAAACGTTAACTGGGTCATCGACCGTCTGTTATTGCCTCACAATGTTGGTCCACTGGGTTATGTGCCAAAAATCGACTTACACCTAACACGTCATCCTCCAATACACTGTACTCTATTCGAGGGTCATACAGCGTACTGTTTGTAGGAATTGTCAGGCCTCCGGTCGATGCTTTGTATCTCCCCATTCCCTCCCTTTCACCTAACACCCACCGGGCGCTATTGTGACGCTTATCGAGCGCCTTGTCGTTCCAGACGAGTGGGAGTCTATCATGAACATGTACACAAACGAGGCGTTTTTCGACACGCTGCTCTGCTGGGTGCGGCCCACCCGTGACTTCCTGTCGTTCCTGCACGCTGAGCTGCGCCGCCTGTACGTGACCAAGATTGTCAGCGTCGGCTGCGGCTGCGGCTTCCTCGAGTGGCTCATCAAACGCGCCTGCAGCGGTCAGTGGGAGGGGGAGGGTGAGGGAAGGCCTCAGGCCATGCGAGCTCGCTCAGTGGTCCAGCGTCGTTGTGTTCTAACTGTTAATGACACCTTAATGAGAAAATGCTCACTTACGCTTCCTAGCCATACTTCGTGTACGGTCTTTATCATTAAACTGCTTCCGGATTCCGTTATTGATAATGAATAACCTTCTGCAACTTCACAGCCTGATAAATGACGGACATTCATCATATGGATACACACGGCCAACCGCACATTCCCAGTGAGGCGCTATCACTACCTATATGTACTACACTTCGCCCGGCCTCACCGTGACATTCTGCTTCGTCGCTGTCGGCAGGTATCGAGGTGATCGGCTACGAGGTGGACCGCGCCTGGTGGCAGGGGCGCTACGGCGTGAAGCCCTTCATCGAGCACATCTACATCGACGAGGTGAAGACCCGCCACGTACCGGCCGGCTCTGTGCTGATGACGTGCTACTTCCACAGCTGGGAGTGCTGGAACCAGTACTTGGCAGAGTTTCGCGGAGACATTGTCATCGTCATTGGGCCGGATACCAACGACCACGTCACCTTCCCCGAGCCAAGACACCTGCTCAGCGACCCGCGTTTCGTGCTCGAGAGCCAGCGCGACATCGCCGGCGGCGACAAGATCGTCATCATGCGGCGGAACCCGGAGCTGTGGCCGGTGCCGCCGCCACCGCCAGAACCAGCTGCCGACGAGCCGCCGCTGCCTAGCGTCAAACCACCGGACAGCAAGGCCGAACAGGCGAAGCGATATAACGAGATGCGACGCTCGCTGGTCATGAACCGCATCTGCAATGCCAAGCAGAATCCCAAGACAGCGCCGGTGGACCCGAAGGTGCGTCAAGGCCCGGCATTGCGTAGTACCTACACCACACGCAAACCGTCGCTAGCGTTCAGCTTAGGGAGCACCAGCGTCGCGTCACGACTGAAGAATCTGGACGGCGGGGCAGCCGGCGGCATCCGTCGTTCGGCATCCTGCAGCGCACATCTCGACTCACTCGGCAAAAGCCGAGAAGATAAGTCGGTGTCAAGGCGGAAAACGACGGCACCAGCGGGGTCTGGATCCCGCGCCGGTTCTTCCGGAGCAAGTCCTCGACTGTCGGGATCGGTGACACCGGACGGCAGGGACAGGCGGAGCGCAGTCGGCCAGCGGCTCGGTGTGGCCACTGCGTTTGCCGGCCGGCCACTGCGTGAGAGCCGCTCCGTGCCTTCCCTGGCCACTCTGCAAGAGCTAGACCGCAACGAGCTGGAGACGAAAGTCAATGGGAACGCAGACTTCGGCAGCGAACGGACGACCGACACATTGGACAGTTCCGTACGACGGCGACGCCCCACAAATGAAGACGACGACCGACAGCCCACCGAGACCCCGAGACGACGAAGAAGAGAGGCTCAGGGCCCGGCCAGTACAGGCAGTGCTGAGGATGACGGAGACTCCCAGCAAACTGCAACGGAGAGGAGACGGAGGACCAGGGCAGCGGGGCAGCCAGACAGCTCCGAGCGGCAGCCGCACGCGGCGGATACTGCGGCCACTGACGGGGCCTCGAACGGACAGGGTGAGAATCAGATGGCATCCGGCCAGGAGCAGGGAGTGAAGGTGTCGCCTCCACTGGTGACCGTTACAGACCTGAGCGGCGAGAGGCGGCAAAGCCTGCGGCGACCCAGCTGGTCGCTGTTCTCACTCACCTCTCCATCGCGCTGAGCAGCGGCAACAGTGGAGAAGACGAAAGGGTCTGACCACTAACGACTACCAATGGATCCTCACGTCAAGTGCCTACAAGACGTGCCAGAGACAACTGACCCGAAAAAAGGATGTCGTGCGGCAAAGCCTTTTCTCCCGACTTCAGAGTAAAGCATTTCCCCTCAGTCATCAAAACAAGAGATGGACCGTGGTCCGTGTGTCATAACCATATTTGCTGTGCTGATCCTCGCGACAATATAACAATCAAGTTTTCTTGAAGTGAGCTTTTCACGAGAACACCGGTGACCCGCTGTGCAGTGTGATACGTGTGCCAAGACGTGATTATGTTACCATGACATTTGTGCATAGAGGTTAGCTACACTGTCGTATGTGCTAGGCAAATCCATAGATGTGATATATAGGCATTGCTATTTGAAAGTTGTGAGTGTGATGGAAATAAAGAAATAGCTAGAGCTCCCGTAAGTACGGCACAAACATCACCAAAAACGTGAAATAACGCCGCGGGGAGGTAGGTATGCTCATTTTTCAGTGTCCTGCAACCTTTTTTAGGAAACGATGCGAAGTTCACTCTTTTCTGGAAATACGTTGACGACACACGACTGTCGACACCTTCACCTTTACCTGTCCGGTTTCAAATGTAGCGCCGCCCACACGGTCTTAGAGGAGTGGCCAGCAAGGGCGTGCGATGTTGCAGAGACCCGATGGCTCACTGAATACTCACGATGAACAGATGCTGACTAGACGTCACAGCAAAAGAAAACAAACAAACAGCATTCAAGTCCGTATCCACCACGGCAAACATTTATTTAATAGTCAACAATGTCAGGAATAAACACAACAGCTCTGATTTGCCGTATACCTAGCGGATTCGTAAGGTGTGTGTGCGGTAGGCCAAAAGTGGACTTACAGTTTGCAGTATAGTTGGCACGCACATACAGCCACAAGAAAATGAGGACACATAAACAGGTACACGACTAATGGCACAGACAGACTGCAGTGGAAATCGTAACCAGTACGGACAGTATCACTAACGCGGCTTAGCAGGTGCTGCGAGACCGAGATCCATCGAAGTGTCGCATCATTATCATAAGAATAAGAATTCAAACACCTGGCATCATACACCAACGGATCACCGTGAACATCAATATCGCTGTGGAAACGTGCATGTTTCTGAAGTACAACAGGCGCTGCGGAATACACGATTGGACACCGGTGCCTGCACGTAGGCCGGCACATCAGGTCTCGGTCTGTCCATTTCGGACTAATAATAAGACACCTGATCACAGGAGAGATCATAGTCAGCACCGGCATCGCGCCGACGCAAGTTCGAGCACGTATGTCTGTCGGTCGGCGACCAGCCATCGGCAGAGTTCGTCTTAGAAGCCCGTCGCCAGGCTGGTCTGGGAGGTAAGCGGCCGCCGGCTCTGGTCTACCTCTGCCACCGCGCGATCGCCACGGCCGGTCAGCGACGCCGGCGGCCGCATGTTGTTGAGCAGCCGAACTCGGTGCTGATCGAGCGAAGCGCTACACACCGAGTGCCGTTCGCGTCGGGCGATCTCCTTATTGGAGGTGAACAGCACCGTGTGATAGGGCACCGGCTCGTGTCGGCCTCTGGCGTCTGGCACGCGGCCCAGAACGCTGTTGTACACCACCAGGCCGTCGACGAGGAGGCCGAACTCGCGCACTCCACGACTCGGCGTCTTGGCGTAGTTCCACAGCTTCACCATGGAGACGGTCTGCGGCCGGTCGAACACGATGTAGACGCGGTTCAGGCAGTCTGGCAGCAGCGGCGCCAGCCACGAGTGGCGGCCGTCGCGGCTGTCCGTCACGCCGTCCACCAGCTTGTCGGGCGTGCGCACGTCGTGGCTGATGCCGTCCAGTACGTTGACGCTGTCCGGGTGAGCAGCCACGTGTTGCGCCGTCAGCGGCAGCGGCCGGCCGGACCCGTCGAACAGCTGCAGACCAGTCAGACCGATGTAGTAGGGATCGCCCCAGCTAGAGATGAGCTGCAGCTGGAACACGAAGCCACGTGGCATCTCTGGGGCCTCGTATTCGTCGTAGCTGACGGCATCGGCTAGTGTGAGCCGCGGGGCCGCCGCCGGCGGTGGCGACTGCTGCGGAGGCGAGGCTGGCGGCGGTGAGCTGGAGCCCGACCAGTCCAGCAGCTGGCCGCAGTTGAAGTGTAGGTGGCCGGGACCTGGCCGTAACAGGAAGTCCTCTGACGGGCCCACCCGGCGACCGTCCAGCTCGAGCAGACAAGTGCGCACACCGCGGTCGGCCTCTTCCGGGCAGCTGTTGTAGTTCCAGACCCGCACACCGGATAGCCAGGTGGCAGCCACTAGCCGAATAGTGATGCTCACTGGCTGGCCGGTCGACCACGGCACCAGCCACATGTGGCGTCGGTTACACGTCAGGAACTCGCCATCCACCAGACAGGCCAGCTCACCGCCAGCCGCCGAAGAGCTCAGCTGATCGGCGTTCAGCTGTACCGGCTCGCCACTTTCGCTGAGGATCTGCAGACCGGTCAGCCCCAGGCAGTTGGCGCCCCAGGATGAGGTTAGTACCAACCGAACCTCACGGGCGCGCAGCGCGCTGCCGGCCGCCGTCGGTGGACGCTCCCGCAGCTGTGAGGTGAAGGGACGCTCTAGCGAGTCGTCAGCATCTGCCGTGCGCGGCCTGTCACTTAGGTAACGTGCCGCTTCGTCGTCGGCCTCTGTCGGGTCGGCTGCGAACGAGGCGTCGTGAAGCGAAACACGCTCCAGCACGGCGTCGTCGGTGGTGAAGAGGATCGTGTCACCAAAGGCCTCAGTGCCACCCTGGATGTCACCGCAGGCGCGCGCCACCTCAACGCAGAACGGCGGCCGCCGGTCCAGGTGCACCTCGACATGGCGCGCGCCGCGGAACGAGTGACAGCGTGACTTATTGTAGTTCCAGATGCGCAGCATAGCGAGCCGGTGTCGGCGACCTAGATCAAGCCGCACCAAGTGGTCGCCGCCAGGAGTGAAAGGCGCCAGCCAAAGGTGCATGTCGTCCTGAGTGCGGTTCACGCCATCGATCAAGTTAGTGACCACGCGCGGGTCGCGCCGGTACTCGGGTAGGACGTTGATGTCGGCCGGTTCCGCCGTGATGGAAGCCACCTTGATCGGCAGGCCGTCGGCACCGAACACCTCGATGCCATTGAGCCCCACATAGTGGATGTCACCCCAGGTTGACTTGATGTTGAGCGTCAGCAGTCGACAATCCGGAAGTTCCGGGATGTCGCAATCACAGAGCACCAGCTGGTCCATGTTCAGGTCAGTGTCCGGAGTAGGACTGAACATGGTTGGCGTCGGCGTGGCCTCTCGCGAGGTGTCTCCGTCAGTCCACGGTGGAATGTCATCCATGACACTGTTGACCAGTCGTCCACGTTGCTGATGGTTAAACGCCTCCAGCTGACTCCAACTTTCCTCCAGAGAGCTCTCTAGAAGGCGTGGCGTCGAGCCACCGGATGTGTCGGTCCCCGACGGGCTGGGAGCGGTCGCCTGAGACAGCAGCTCCGCTGAGCCTGGGGTGCACGCGCGCCGACCGAACCGGGCCGAGCCGCGGCGAGGCGCCCGGTCGCCGGTAAAGCCGGTACCCAAAGTCTCCAGGTCCTGGACAGCCATAGGTTCACTATGTCGCACACCGCCTCGCTCTGGTGCTGACGGCTTCGACCAGGAGCCGAACCAGCACGGCATCGGGGCGGCGTTGGTCTTTGGCAAGGACGCGTCAGCCTTGGAGAAATGGTGCGTTGACGCACAATCATTCTCGTCCTCCTTCTCTTCTTCTTCGCTGGACAGCTCGAGCAGACTGTTATCACCACCAGGTAACCACATGGTGGATTTCTCCCTGGCCGACTGTGCTCTGCGTTCCGTCTCAGGTCCAAAAGGAGGCAACTTGATGACTGTCAGCTGAGTGTTTCCCTTAGGAAGCTCACCTTTGTAAACGACTCTTCCGTCCAGTCGCACTTGGAAAAGTCGCACTCCAGTGCCATGCTCACGGCTCGTACTGCCGTAGTTGCGAATCTTCACCGCGCTGAGCTTACCGTCGCTGGGGTAGAGCAGGAGTTTCAGAGACACCGGTGATGCGTTGAAGGGGCATGTCCAGCCGGTGAACGCAGCACCATGCTCACCGGCACCGGTGAACAGCTTGGACACGGTGCGGGTGCTGGCCAGATCGTGGACACCGGTGACCGACAGCAGGTCCCGGTGTGCGGCCACCTGCACCTTGCGGCCGTGTCCGTCTACAAACTGCAGCTCGGAAAGGCCGGCACGCTCCTCGCCACCCCAGGTCGAGTGCAGCTCCAGCTCCAGCCGGACGGTAGCGGTGGTTCGCGCCGAGGCACGCCGCCTGCCAGCTACGCCCAGCTTACGGGTGCGCGGCGCTGCGATGGCATCTCCAGTGACGGCCAGCTTCTCACGGGCCTTGCCCTCCTTCAGCAAGTTCTGTGAGTGGACGAAATGCTCGGAGGAGCGCTCCTTCACTGGATGACGAAAATGAACTTTCCCACCCTGAACTAACGGGCTCCCAGCACTCGGAGCAAGATTAGAGTCGCTGCCATTAACGGGACCGTTAAAACGGTTCCCCGATAGGTAGGCATTGTATTTGCCTGCTTCGAAGACCGGGAGTCCAGACACCAACAGTTCAGGCCTAGGGTCCACCTTATCTGCCTTCGTTTGAATACTGAAGGCTGCGAAGTTCTTCGGTGGCTCGCACATTGACAAAGACACAGGTTGTACTTCCATGTCGGGTGATATTGCTTCAGAAGATATCGAACTGAAGCCGTTTGGCTTCTTTTCGGTAGAACTAGTGACACTATTGCACTTATTGCTTTCACTTACGACGTGGGAGGCAGGTGTCTTAGGAGTGCTTGTGCGATTGCTAGGAGTGTACGTAATCATTTCATCATATTCATCCAGCTGAAGCGTTTCGCACGTCTTCCTGCACTCAGCCGATCTCTCTCGGCTGGTGAGGGACGTGCCGTCGGCCGTCTCATACTCGTCACTCTCGGAGCCACTGGTGGTTTCCTCTGTCGACGTCCCGCCAGTTTCGGACGTGTATTCCTCGTACTCACTCGAAAAGGTGTCGTCCATCTCTCAGTGAATTGCACATGTGCTGTAAGGCATAAAAGTCATTTAGCAGTATGTGGATACCGAAAATGTAATGCCCGCTATTCTATTGGTCAGGTCATCAGGTTACGTGAGGGAAACAAATTAGAATCCTCGTCATAGCTACACCGACTGAACGATCACCTTGAAAATTTCAACGATTGATTAGAGTAACAAACAGTATATAGGTACAAAAAAAGTATACGGTAGAATCCGCTTAATAAATCCACCTTGGCGGGCTTGGTGACACGGTGTTTTGGATTTATAAAAGAGGTAGCTTTATAACCGGAGTCCGTTATGCTTCTATGAGTGGAGAAAACCCGTGAGCAGCTAATTGTGGCGGCTATAAGTGTAACGGTGCTGCTGGGCGGCTTGGCGGTGCACATGTGCCGTGTGAGTGACGGGTGGCAGTTAGCGGTGTGATCGTCCGCCTCGGAGGACGACACCGGGTGGGCAGGTGGACCGTCTCCTCTTTAACGCCTGTCCGATTCCCACTTGGCACCAGCTCCGCCGTCGTGCAGTACAAATTTATTTGAGAGGCTTGCAATTTCCTTACAACATATAGTCTTCACTGCTCGGGGAGGAATGGGTTCAATTTGGAAGGGATGGGATTTGTCACCGGCTGATGGAATTGCTTGGCTTTAAACCCCAGGGTAAGGCCTTCCCATGTTCCCATTTCGTATCCGTTCGATGCCAAGGGCTCCACCCCATCGGGAAATTTATGCAATTCGAGCGTGAGTGTCTAGCTCCCACTGGTTCTTAATATAGCCATTCGTTACTCCCTTTCACCCGCACACGCGTCATTGATTCGGTCATGCATACACCTACGAAGAACATTCGGCTAGACAAACCGACCCTCCCGTTTCCATCTAATCCCTCCAGTGGTGCTGAATTGGCATAGTTATCTCCTGAGGTGAGTTTATGCCCTGTTTGGTACTTATGCGCGTATAATGAGATATTAACCCCTTTAAGTCCCTGAATTCTAAGCAAATTGGCACTGGGTGTCCTTCTGACCCCATTTACGTTATTACTCTCCTCCGTTGAAGCTACGTTTCTCATGCGCTCCCAGCCGCTGCCTGCTCTTCAATCACGTGCACTGCCACAGCGCATACATTTCCATCGACTACCTCTCTCTCGCTCGCGCGCACTGCCACAGTGCGGATAATTTCGCCCAAGCTCAAAGGAAACAACGGTTGTACGCACCTCTGCCGGTCTGTCGACTCGGTGTTGTGGGTGGTCCGGTTGTGCCTCAGTTGAGGGATAACTTCCTAAATGATAATACTCTCGGCGGAGCCACTCCGCATAACAACTCCACATTTCCATCGACCACCTCCCTCTCTCGCGCGCGCACTGCCACAGTGCGGATAATTTCGTCCAAGCTCAAAGGAAACAACGGTTGTACGCACCTCTGCCGGTCTGTCGACTCGGTGTTGTGGGTGGTCCGGTTGTGCTTCAGTTGAGGGATAAGTTCCTAAATGATAATACTCTCGGCGGAGCCCTCCGCGAAACTATAACTCTGTGTTTCTACTGAACACCTCGGCGGAGCCACTCCGCGACACTATATATAACTCGGCAACCTTGCCCTCGTTTATCGCTCTTACACTCTTACATATTAGTCCTAGCCCTTCAAAGTCCGGTCGACACGGACGGCTAGCCGCTCGGTGCCTTTGCTATACTTCATGGGAATACGCAGTAGAATTCATCGAGTCACGGAATAATCATTTTCCATCTCGCAGTGATCGACGGCGTCAGCAGAGTCAAAACAGGCACAGGGGCCTGGCTCGAACCAGCCTCTTTCCGGCTCGTTGGATTGTCTCGGTCTTTATCCTACTTTGTTGTATGGTTTAGTCCAATCGCGTCGATATATGTTACAATCATTGGGAGCAAGATAAAGAATACAGCAGATGAGAGAGAGAGAGAGAGAGAGAGAGAGAGAGAGAGAGAGAGAGAGAGAGAGAGAGAGAGAGAGAGAGAGAGAGAGAGAGAGAGAGAGAGGGAGAGGGAGATGGAGAGGGAGAGGGAGAGATCGGATTACGAGAAAATGGTTATGGGGTGGTCCATTTCGATGTTTCCCCGCACTTGCTCACATTTGGTTAGGTAGTGTTGCCCGTCAGACAAATGTCGCCCTTATCGCCCTTGTCATCACTCCTGACCTTCCTTACACTCATGCCGCTAAACTTTCAGGGTTTTATTCACGCAATACACCTCGGAGTAAAATAAACCAAATTCAAGCGCATACCTCATGATTTCCCAGACGCACCCTCGCTTCGATTTTGTTCCAAAACAAAAATAACATCGCGCTATCTGTTACCCAAATCTACACACCCGCGCAGCAAACCTTCCCATCGCACACATAATTCGCCACTTCCGACCAGCCCTGACGCAATGATTCGACAGCGATCCAATTAAAATCTGAGTCCCCAAGTCCTATCGAGACACCCAATAAATTTACCCAATCAATCCATTATAAATAATCACGTCTTCACGCTTTGTCTCCCCCCCCCAAAAAAAAGAAAGAAGCTTACATGGTGTTGTCGTTACGCCTAATCCTCACGCTCAGCCCGAGAAAGGTAGCCCTGAACCATCAGCCGGTTGGTGCAAATCACGGAGTGAATATATGAGGGACGGGAGCTGAATGATTGCATGTTGGCAAGGATTGAGCAGACTTCCTTTCTGTGGCAATTCTTACTTGAACGGCGTTGTTGACCCAGCCGGTTACCGAGAGGTCGATGATGATAGCAGTTTGTCCGTTGTCGATGGCTGAGAGCGTGCACTTTCCTCGATCCAGCTCTCGATCACTGTCGTACTGGATCCTCCCTCGTCAGCTGCTGCCCGTCGCGCTCCTCCCGTCGTACTCCATCCTCCGTGCACTGCCGTGTCCTCTGCGCTCCGCCCAGCCGGACTCGATGCTCCGTGCACTCCGGTGTCCTGTGCACTCCTCGGTACCTCCTCCATGACTGCCTCGTTCCTTTATACCCAGATTACTATCGCGTTGGTGTTCCAGGTGTGATAAGCATGGCTAGATATTCGTCGGTGTGGCGTGATAGGCCTGGTATCTTTATCTGTATGATGACTCATGAGTGGCATCGGTCCTGGTTATTGACTTTCTTCCAGCTGGTTGTAATTGGGCCGGGTGCAGTGCTTATCACTTTTGCTATCTTCTTGCCATCTGCCGTGCACACCTTTGTTCTGCTGGGAAGCTGAGGTACACTGTCCGGCGTCGGCGCTTTATTGCTTGGTTTGGTTGTAATCACGATATCTCGGGTATGTATGGTCCGCCATGGTCATTGAACTTCCCAGCTGTTCCTGTTTTGGCCGAACGCTTGTGATATTAGCGAATTCGTCAGTTATTACTCTGTTTGCTGGGCGCTCATTTGTCCCAGCTGCCGTCCAGTATCAGTAGTCCCCGACCGTCGGCGTCGCTGCTCGTCAGGTGAATGCCAGATATGGGCATTGGCGTGTCCCACTCTCGGCACGGAACATCTGCTCTTCTGGACGTACATATTTGCACCTCCGATTCCGCAGGGAGGGTGACTGGCACTTTGGGTTAGCATCTGTCGGCGGCTGATAACTTCGTCGGCGTGAGTGTAATTTTGATGGCTTGACGCCTTCTATTTGCGGCACTTGCGGCATGATACGGCCCGAGGGGTCCCTGCGTCAGCTGTTTCTTGTTTGACATGCTCACACCGGTGTCGATCCACTAGGTCGAGGCGGTGCCGGTGGCGATATCCCAGGCGCAGGTGCAGAGGATTGGCGCACAGGATGCCGGCCGATTGCGCTTTGGAGAGATAAAGTTCCGTTATGAGCTTTTCCTGTAGATGCGGGCGGGGAGGCGGCAGTGTTTACACCTCTGCAGTGCCAGGTGTAGCCCGTTTTTGACGTGGCCACCCAATTGGCGTGCGACCGATAAGAGGGGTCGGCGCTACGTCGGGTCCAGGTGGGGTAGACCATCTGCCGCCTGCGCCCTGTTGACCCGCGTTATCCATGAATGTGTCGGGAATTGAAGCGCCGTTCTTCTCTCACTTTTGCGTGTTTGGCTTTTAGTCTCACACCAATATGCATGCCTTTTGATTCTGCCAATTCCTGTAAGCTGTGATTCGAAAAAAAAATGTGGCTTCCGTCACATTTTCAGGCTCATTTCTTTTAAATTGTGCCCCCACAATTTTGTTTCTTCGTGTGTGTGCGTGTTTGTGTGCATGTTTGTGTGTGTGTTTGCGCGTGTGTCCAATGCAGGCTGGGTTTCTTCAGTCATCGTCACGATTTACCCGTTTTTGACTCTTGTTGTTTTGTTTTCTCTTGTCTGTGTTTGTCCTTTGAACTACTTTTTTTCATTGACTCCTTTCTTCTTTAGCTGTGTTCGTGCACACTAATCGTGGGCTGATGCCGGCTGATGGTTCATGACTATGATTATTGTTTTTGGGCTAACATACAGACATAATTTAACCCTCTAAGTTCTAAACATTGTTCACGCAATCGATTGTAACATAGCTTTTAACGCCGACGCAACGATAGAGAATGCCATTGTTCCTATGCTTTTACACGAAGCAAACAGTAGGTGTGTTTTACCTAGTAACAATAAAGCAAACAGTATTTTACCTAATCTCCCCACAGCTCGCTTACACAAAGCCCCCTTATTTCTACTACCACGCCGCGATGACATGTCACATGATAAGATCCTCGAACACTCCATCGCACCTACTGTTTGACCGCTGCTGCTCCAGCTTCCGAGAATGCAGGCTGGTGTCCAGTGTCCCCCGGACTGTTGAAGTCCAGTGATTCGGCGTGGGCCTTCTCTTGCACGTGCTGCATGCCGCATTCCGCCACGTCCGTCGTTCTCGGCTCCAGTCGGCTCTCGTAGTGAGGCGGCAAGGCTTATGGCGACGCCCGTGCCTGCTGTTAGACATGAGAGAGGTATTATGAGCGGACATTGAGCCGCGGTTCTTGCTTGACGGATGGCTGGATATTCCTTGGGGTTGGATCTTTGCATCGTGGGATGGTTGGGATAAT